GTTCAAAAGTCCAGAATGAGAGCTGGGTGAGGCTCAGTGGTAGAGAGCATGCCTGGCATGCATGAGGCCCGGGGTTCCAAAGTCCAACGTGGGTCCCACTGGGCTAAAATCGGGAGCTGCAGCCTGTGTTCCTCGGCAGGCTCTGGGAGGGCCTGTTTCCCATGCCTTCTCCAGCTCCTGGAGGCTGCCTGCATTTCTTGGCTTGTGGTGCCTTCCTGCATCTTTAAAGTCAACCCCCGTCTCTGTCTCTGTCCCCATCCCTTCTGACTTCACATCTCCTTCTCTGACTCTGGCCCTCCTTCCTCCCTCTTATAAAGACCCTGAGATCACGTTGCCCCCTCCACCGGAACCCAGGATAATCTCCCACCTCAGGATGCTAAACTTAATCACTGCTACAGAATCCCTTCTGCTTACACAGGAACTTTTCACAGGTGCTGGGGATCAGCACATGGGTGCCCATTATTCTAACACATCCATGTAAGTGCTAAATTATATGGGGACACCTTTACTCAAAGAGAGACATTTGGTCTTTCCGAATGACTGAGGCCCCTTTCCAACGCTGAAGTCCCTCTGAAGCCTTCAGACTTGGCTCATCCTTGCCACCTCCTAGGGCAGTGGTTCTCAAGGGGATAGGGATGGTTTTGCTCACCAGGAAACACGACACTCTGGGGAGGCATTTTGGTTGTGCCCACGGGGAAGGATGCTCCTGGCATCTAATGGGCAGAGGCCAGGGGTGCCACTCAGTGTCCTGCAATGCTCACGACAGCCTCCTCTGCCCCTCACCCAACCACAGAGAATGACCTGGCTCCAAATGGCCGTTTCACAAGGCCAGACTGAGAAGCCCTGCTCTAGAATCCCAGAGAGGAACACGCAAACGAGCCATGCTCATGGCCACAGGAGAGGGAAACTGGAAGCCCCACTGCTCTGGGGGGGGGGGGGTCAAAAGAGGTGTGACCCAGATCCCTCAGTAGCCTGAAATGCCACAAGAACAAGGACAGCACAGGTGTCCTAGAGACACACGGAATCTCTGCAACTCCCATTCCTGCTTCTTAATCAGCTACTGATGCCCAGGCATCCAGGTCCCCTGGGGCGGTCTACACCCTGCTCCAGCCCCTGCTGCTTTCTCTCCAGCCCCTCCCTGCTAGTTTATTTGCCTGGTGCAAACATTTAGAGGTTCTTTATTGACTATATATATATATATATATATATATATATATATATATATATATATATAAAATATTTTTTTTTTTTTTTTCCCCCTTGTACTAGTGATTGAACTCAGGGGTACTTGAACACTGAGCCACAGCCCTATTTGGTATTTTATTTAGAGACAGGGTCTCACTGAGTTGCTTAGCACCTCGCCCTTGCTGAGGCTGGCTTTGAACTCACAATCCTCCTGCCTCCGCCTCCCAAGCCGCTGGGATCACAGGCAAGAGCCACCACGCCTGGCGCCTTGCAATATTTTAAATCTCCTTTTCCTTTGCATGAAGTGAAACCCACTCCGCGGCTCCCCCAAGGCCATTTTTCCTCTCTCCAGTCTGGGAGACAGGGAGGAGTGCACAGAGACCTTTCTGAGGCAGGCGCTGTCATTCTCCCCATCTTTGGCAAGCTGACTGGGTTTGGATTGGCTTCGCCGTGGGTGCCCTGCAATGTCCAATATCACAGACAGACGTGGTGAGCAATCTGCACAGAAAAGCCTGAGCTGGGAGACTGGCAGGTGAGGTCACGTTGGCCAGGGCCGGGAGCGGCAGGCTCAGCAGCTACTCAGCATCTCAGCCCGCTGCGTGAATTTCAGGTGCACCGAGGAGTTTAAACAACAGGTCCCCTCCTCAGGACTTCAAAATCATCCTAACCTACTCTCCTCCCTGGATAATATTAACCCTAAGCTCTCCCAGACCTTTGAGGACACCGTGCCCCAACATGGGACACATACCCGTCATCCCGCTAATAAGGCAAGCTCCTCCCTGGGTGTCAGTAACTAGATTTTCTTGGACTGAATCCAAGAAAAGGTACTGTATGTTGAATTCAACCTCTAAAATCCTTAAGAAGAAAAAAAAGGCTGGAGGTTTGAATAAAAAACAAAAGTAGACTAGACTAGAACCCTAGTCAACCCAATAATTTGGTGAGCCCTAGTCAAAAGCTGCCGTCTGGAGCTGGTCCCCACCTCCCTGCGCTCCCATCCTGAGCCAAAACGTGATGGTGCTAATCTGTTCCCAGCATCTGTGCTGCCTCACTGGGAAAGGGCTCTGAAAAGTCAGGTTAGGTGAAGTCAAGCCTTCCTCTACCGGTGACGTGTGGCAGAAGTATTTTCTCTCAAAAGCACAGACAACAGAAATGGCCCTAGGGCTTGGGCAGTCCTAGGGCCTCTGTATCCTCACTGAGGTTTTGTTGATTGGCTTCTTTTTGTATCACTGAGGTCAACAGCCAGCCAGAAGATTCTTTTTTTTTTTTTAAGTGCTGGGGTTCAAACCCAAGGCCTTGTGCATGCAAGGCAAGCACTCTACCAGCTGGACTATAACCCCAGTCCTAAAATTTGTTCTTTTTAGATATACATGACAGTAGGGGTATTTGACATACCTCACATACATGGAGTAGAGTTCCCATTCTTGTGGTTGTACAGGACGCGGGTATATTCATACATGAACATGGGAAAGTGACGTCTGATTCCTTCTCCTGACTTTCCCACTCCCATCCCCTTCCCTTCCCTTCATTCCCCTGGGTCTAATCCACTGAACTTCTATCCCCCTCCCCATCCCCTATTGTGAGCTAGCATCTGCATATCAGAGAGAACATTTGGCCTTGGGTGTTTTGAGACTGGCTTATTTCACTTGGCACATATTCTACCACAGAGCTTCACCCCAGTCCCTTGTCTTTTTTTTATATCTATTTTTTAGTTGTAGGTGGACACAATATCTTTATCTCATTTTTTAATTTAGTGCTGAGAGTCGAACCCAGTGCCTCACGTGTGCTAGGCGAGCTCTCTACCACTGAGCCACAACCCCAGCCCCCTCCCCCTTGTCTTTTTTAAATGTTCAGAAATGCTCCTGAGTGTGCATCAGTGTCTCGTTGTGGTTTTAATTTACAGTTAACCTAATGACTAGTGACGCTGAGCATCTTTTCATGTCCTCTTGTTATGGGGCAGACCGTTCAGAGAACATACCAAGTCCATTTTGTTTGAATTGGAGTCTTTATTTAGCCGGGCGGCCCACATCCGCAAGCAGAGGCACAGAGCTGAATTGAGCAGTTAGCGAAACAGTGCAGTGGGTACATTGGGATTTCCCCGGGGACTTTCCAGGTTGGCATAGCAGCAAGCAAGCAGAAGGGAAGTGGGTCAAAATGACCCTAATTGAGTACAAGTTAGAGAATGGTTACTAACATCTAAACGATCAATCGCTGACAGAGTACACTGCTCAAGAAAAATGAGAACCAAAGAGAACAATTTTACATTGCATAAGAATTACCATTTTGGGCTGGGGATGTGGATCAAGCGGTAGCGCACTCGCCTGGCATGCGTGCGGCCCGGGTTCGATCCTCAGCACCACATACAAACAAAGATGTTGTGTACGCCGAAAACTAAAAAATAAATATTAAAAAAAAAAATAGAGCTGGGGATATGGCTCAGTTGGTAGAGTGCTTGTCTTGCATGCACAAGGCCCTGAGTTCAATCCCCAGCATCAAAAAAAAAAAAAAAGCTTATTGGAATTTTTGTGTATATAGGCAGAGCTTGACAGAATATCCCTTGTCAGGCTTCACTGTAGGATGCTTGAAGAGGAATTTAGCTTCCTCAGCATCTCTTGTTACCTCCTTTGCAATTTACCTTCTCCAGAGAAGCCTTTTCCACTCTCCTGCCTAAGGGGTTAATGCCTGAGGGTCAACAGTTTTGAGTCCTGTGAGGAAGTGAATCTCACCTTTCAGCATTTACGTTTTAGTTTATTCTTAGTTGTACTTTTCACTTATGCTGTCCACTAAGGGCTGGGATCAGTGATTACTCTCTCTGGTTTATTTTCACAAAGAGTAAACCTTCCATCCCTGGCTGGCTGTAGTATGGAAGTGGGTCTGGGGATATAGTAGGACTTTATCTCCCCCCCTCTTTTTCCCCTATTGCCTCAGGTGCAGCAAGTTATAATAGTCATAATCTTCAGTTCATTACAAATTCATCATCATTTCATGCATGGCTTCCCTATCCCTCCCTGTTTTTAGCTGTGCACCTCACCCTGGATCTCTGCCAAGGGACCTGGCATCTCTTATTCCTGAGCTATTCCAGGGTCTGTGGAGAACACTGGCTTGCTTTCTTATTGTTGTCCTCCTGCATAAGCTTTTCAGGTGTAGCTTTCTGACTCTTAAGTCAGTTACCTCTCCTCTACCTATCTTCATAATAATAGTGGTTTGGGGGTTATGGTGTTTATTTGTTTTATCAGTGATGGAATTTGGATATCTCTTTATTATTTCCATGGTGGTATTGGGGTGATTTCCAAAAGTTTTCAGTTTTGTTTTCTTTAGCCTTTTTTTTTTTTTTTTTTTTGTGGTGTGGTATTGGGCATCAAACCCAGGGCCTTGAGTATGCTAGGCAAGTGCCCTACCACTGAGCTACATCCCCAGTCCTCTTTAGGATTTTGGTTTTGCTGTGATACCCAGGCTGGTCTCAAACTGGTAGGGTCATTGGATCCAAATAGCTGGGACTAAAGGCACCACCATGCTTAGCTTCCAGTTCTTTCCATCCTTAAAATATTTTGTTTTAACACTCTTCTGAATGAGTTCATGCCTTGTAGATCTGACAACATGAGAAGGCTTTGTGTCTTGAACAAACTGCTCAGACTTAGATCCTAGAAATTAGGGAATAATGCTCTGTGTTCTTTAGTACCCCTAGCTCCATGTATTTTTTTTTTTTAAATTGGCATTGAAAACACAAAGACTATATAAGTTCAATGTCACTTAAGTATAAAACATTTGTTTTTGCTTGCATTACATACAAATTGGAATTTTTAGAAAATGATGCTAAAATGGAGGTAAAATTGAATTAGTGTGAAAATTCAGTTTCCCCCTGGCTTTTATTTACAACTTTGTAGACAATATAAGCTTTTAGGAACTTTTATGAATAGTAACAACACCTACTTTGTTTTCTCAAACAGGCCAGCAGATACATAGAGAATGTTTTAAAACCTCACCAGGAAATGAGATTGAAAAAACTGGAAGAGCACTTTTATCAAATGACGGGTGAAACCTGGAAGTTAAGCGGCGGTCACAAACTTGGGGTTAGAAAATATTAGAAGTCAATTTTATATTAGAAGTCAATTATTAATTATGTTTTATTTTATGTATTTTTTATTAATTGAAAATGTTAGGCTATTAGTACTATTTGTTTTTTCAAAGTTTTCATTAATAATGATTATATATAGGTTTGTGGGTTGGTTTTTTTTTTGTGGGGGGGGGGGGCATTGCTGAGGATGGAAGCCAGAGTTTCATGCATACCAGGCAGGTACTACATCCCCAGCCCTGTGTATCGCTTGTGTTTTTGTGTTATTGTGTAAAGAAGAGTTTATTTAGTTCATAATTCTGGAGGTTTAAGAACCACATCTGGCGAGGCTTTCTTGCTGGAAGAACCCCAATGTGATGCAGAGTATCACATGGCAAGAGATAGAACCTATTATTTTTGGTTCCAGGGATTGAACCCAGGGATGCTTTACCACTGAACACATTCCCATTCTTTTTATTTATTCAATTTTGAAATAGAGTCTTGTTAAGTTGCTGAGGCTGGCCTCAAACTTGCAATCCATCTGCTTCAGTTTACCAAGTTCCTGGGATTACAGGCGTGTGCATCACTAGGACTTGCTTTTTTATTTTGTTTTGGTACTAGGGATTGAATGGGGGGGGGGCACTTTACCACTAAGCTATATCCCTAGCCCTTTTTTATTTTTTGAGACGGGGTCTCACTAAGTTGTTTAGAATTTTGCTAAGTTGTTGAGGCTGGTCTTGAATTTGAAATCCTCCTGCCTCAACCTCCTGAGTTGCTAGGATTATAGGTGTCGTCACTAAGGTGGCTCTAATTATATGAGTGTTTATTCATCATAATTGTGTATCAAGTGGTTAAGTGGTTTTGGTACCTAAAGAACGTAATCTTGGCAAAACTATTACAAGCTAGTCTTTGAGAAAAATATTGAATAAATTACTATTTTGAGGAAAGTCTCATCTTTTCTCAAGTAAGATCTCTAAAGTGTTAAGTTTACATTATATTCATTATGTTTGGCTCAGTTTTAAAAGTCTAATTATCCTTTGGTTATTTTTTCCTTTGTCATTAAGGAGAGATTTTGTTATTTGCTAATCCAAGTTTATAATTTTAAGTTTTCTTACAGAGAAAAAAGAATATTCATAAAGAAATTGTAGAGTATCTGACCACAGATCATATATGTAAGGCCCATAATGTTTACCTCAGAGTCAACTGGGATGTTTTTATTCATTTCATAATGACAAATATGTCATAACATAAGCAAGGGTAGATTAATGTGAAAAATGGGCAACATAAAATGCAACTGTTTTATGTAGCGATTTCACTTGAGTTTCTCTTTTCTTCAGTTTTGTGGTTGATAGACATTGATAGGTTGATTTTGTATATACACATACAGACACACAAACACACTCACACATACGTATATTTATTTTTGAGATGGGGCCTGGCTATATTGCCTAGGCTGGTCTGGAACTCCTGTGCTCAAGCACTCCTCCTGCCTCGGCTTCCCAAGTAGCTGGGACTACTGGAGTATACTATCAGCTATCTGATAGGTTGATTTTAGCCTGATCTGTCTCTCAGAAATGGTCACAAGATGAATTAGACATTCTGCCCCTTGTTTTTAGATTCTGTCTTCATTGGTACCACTGGTGTATATTTTAAACTGATTAGTGGAGACATCAGAAAGCCCTGGGCAGGTTAAACTGTTGGTGTGGTTATGAGTAAGGCCCTGAGGACTATCAAAGAACATGACAATCACAATGTGAGAGGGTCAAAATCTGTCAACTTTTTTTTTTTAATTAGTTATATATGACAGTACAATGATCTTGATGTATCATACATTAAAATCTGTCCGCTTTTAACTTTGTAGCTTGCAGTGAGGCAGCCTGGGCTTGGCCATTTACTTGGCATTAAGATCCCTTGATTCTCATTCCCCATGCTCCTTCCACCAAGTTTTCTCTTTTTGTTTGCTTTGTTTTGGTCCTGGAGATTGATCTCAGGAGTGCTTTACCCAGCCCTTTTTATTTTTTCTTTTGAGACAGGGTCTCATTAAGTTGCCCAGACTGGCCTTGAACTTGCCAGTTGCTGGGATTATAGGGGTGCATCACCACACCCAGCTAACTTTCTTAGGAAGAAGGAAAGGGGATGAAACCCTACCAAATGATGAACATTTTAGACTGATAAAGAGAACTTTTTATCTTAGGTTAGTAGCTGTAGAAGGAAGGAATTATTGAACTAATAAGCATGTATTTGAGAACTCTACATTTATTTTGTTAAAGGAACATTTTAATAGATAATATTGAAGAATAGTTTTCTGGAATAAAATTCTTTGCCTCTTAGAGTGATTAATTAAAATGGAAAGTCAAAGTTTGAGTTTCAAGACTAGAATATGTTTATATATAACCAGATACCAA